CTTAAAAATACTCACACTTTACCAATCTTAGCCCTATAGAAAACTACATTATGCAATCACAATGTAATGAGAAATATACTCTATTCTGCAATTTAATATGGTAATTTTGAGATAACTACCTGTGTTGCATTTTCTTTTGTGGAAGACTCACAGTCATCTTTGTGGACAATTTTATCTTTGGTGGGACTCTGTGACGTTTCACCATGAAGTGGCCCACAAAATTATTGCAAACTGCAAAATAATATAGCTGTCCTTTATAGAACAAGTAAAGTTATCGCTCGATGACAGACTGTTATCCAACGCGACCGCTTCTCTTGTGATCTTTTTGGTGCTGGGAAGCGATAGAAATATACAGGATGGCCATTCTTATTCTTATCCATCGAATGTGGGTAGCGAAAACAGTTTTTAAATGTTCCCCAAGCGCATCTCTTCGTCGCAACCATAAAATCACTATAATCATTAAAATTACTATATGGACCGCCGTCGTTTCAAAGCAATTTTTAGGAACTACAACGCCGTTAATATCTGATATAGAATCTGTAGACATTTTTCTTTATATTTGTAGTATAACAACACCGAAATATACAATAATTACAATATAAATTTGCAATTCAAATCACGAACGATAGTGAGCGCCATATTAACTCCTATTACACAACAGAGCGAATGTCCGCAATGTTTACATTTTGTACCACGTGACACCTTTGGAATTTACACGTGCGTTTTACCGCTGAAGTGGTGGATTGAAATCGAATTACTAATAGAGTATATTACTGTTGTTGTACTGTACTTGTAAAATAAAAACTTATTAACTGTCATTAAATGAATGCATAAATTTTTCTTTTTGCACTCGCGTGTGCAGTAATTTTGACAGTTGTATTTTAAATTCCCAGGCACGACAAATCTTTTGTCCTTAAACCAATGTCGATTTCTTGGGAAATTCCGAGGTTGCGTTTTTTTTATACACCCTGTATTGAAATAATCTATTGTTATCCCCGAGCCGGCGGCGCGAAGCGCCGTGCGAGGGTACTAATTCTCCCCGGCTATTTACACCTGGGGAAACGAAAGCATTAGCGAAGTCTAAAGCAGTGAACTATATACATGGAAGGCTGACTTCAGTCATTGACGTAATCAAAAAGTGAAGCCAAAGATGGCGGATTTTGAAGCCATTCTTGCGCGTCATTCTCAGTCCCCTACCCGCGCGGCCAAACATTTTTTGTATTTTCATGGCGGGAAGTGATGGGTCCGCGATTCTCGGGTTGTGTTTTTCTTCATTTTAAAAGAGCAAAAAAGGAAATAAACTTCATTTATTTCATGTAAACCTGATTTCCTTCATCTACTCGATCTGTCTACTGCATTTTCCCTCTGTATGTGTGAGTAAATCTGTATTTTTCGTTGCGAATTCAACAACTAATTTCAAACTTTTTTGTTTTTTTTATATAAAATCTGTATTTTAATAAATTGGCAATTTATTTTTGCTTTGGTTGTTTTGTTTTCTTGTTTTTATGGTGCTTTTCAGTTTTCACACCATTATTTAGCTTATTTTAGTCGGTTTTCCTGACCTAAAACTGCTTTTTAACTGCAGTTTTCGAGGCAGTTTTTAGCCAATTTAATTCCATACATGTAAGAAAATGTTGTTTTTTTATTTTCTATTTAATAAAATCACTTTGATGTTTGCCTTATAAACTTAAACTGTTCATTTTAATGAGTTATTCATGTGTGTGAAACTCTTGTCGATAGGGGCAATAGAGATATTTTGAAAGATTGAGTGACTTTGTGTTTTGTTTTGTCACTCCTTGTCATTTTACAAAAACAGCAATCCCGCGCTATTTTGCTTTCTTTCCACTCAAATATCACATCTCCTAAACAAATAATAATTAAAATTTATAACCGAACCCAAACAAAATACCAGAATTCAACTTTTCATTCAAATTTCGTCTGTTTTTCACCAGATTTTTACTCGGAAAGTAAAGAAAAATATAAAAGTTTTGTTGACCGCGCACGTAAGGGGACTGAGAATGACGCGCAAGAATGCCTTCAAATTCCGCCATGTTGGCTTCACTTTTTGAGCTCTAGTCAGACTTCCATGTTATATAGTTCAGTGGTCTAAAGTTCATCAATGAGCGCGGGCGTCAGTCACCAACGATGGATGGTCATCCTCACTGATCTCAAAAATATGGCGGACTGTCATGAATAACGGACACTGATTGATCCAATTTAAAGTTTGCATTATAACGGTTGCATGACGACAGCGAAATAGCAAACATTTCTTGATTTAATGAGTTGATGATTGATAAATTTCTTGCAAATATTCTTCATTTTTGCTCGTATTTCTGCAAGATTTTGTAAATTTTAAGAAAGAAAGGGCGAAAGAATCAGCTAAAAGAAGTGAGCCGACGTTAACGAAGGTAAGTTTGTTTTAAATATTGATTTTATAATGGCTTTAAAACCCGACGGCCTTTACGTATATGAAACAACTAAACAAGACAGCATATAATTTCAGTGTATCTTTAATATTGATTCCCTTTTTTATTATATTGAATTTTTTAAATAAAAAATAAAGCAAAGTTATTTCCAAGCGAGAATTTGAAATCATTTTATTGCAAACTCAAAGTTTATTGATAAAGCCATTTAATAGTTAAAGGCAGTTTAGTTTTATAAAGAACACTTTAAAACATTTTGTGAATTGTTTGTTGTTGAATTTTACCTTAAATTGAAGCTTCGATCGGTATTACGTATAATTACATACCTAACATAAATATGTTGGGAAATTGATAATTTTGTAATTAAAAGTGATACTTTTAGGCAATTTTCATTTGTAAGAATATTCTTAAAAAATTATCGTGTTACCATGACAACTACTTTAGATACTTCATGTTCGGAAAATACAACGGTTTTGTCAGCAAGGCGAGGGTTTCTGCATACATGTATTTTCTAGTTAGAATTTGAATGGCCTAGCACTTTGCTGGACGCAATGATGCGTAACTCCGTAGGCCTTGTTTTAGACATTAAATTTCGGTCGCGTGAAATCAACTAAGACAATAGATAATGAAGGCTGAAGCTTAATGAGGTTTATCATCTCATTTTATCTGTTGACTATTGTCTTAGTCGTATTCGCGTATAAAACATACCTAAAATATTGTCTGCGTGTATATAAAATTATTAAGAAATTAGAATACATTTGTAAAGCACACGAGTTTAGAGCAGCTTCCCTTGTATAAGTGAGCTTTACAATTGTATACAATCTAAAAAGATACTATTAATTACATTATTTGTATACCTTTATATACCTTCTATACTGGTGCATAAATTATACATGACGTCCTAATTACGCGTTCAGTAAGTTTTTTTTAATTGCCAGGAAAGGCAAGACAAACTTTTGTTCATTTCTCATTCAATTTTTAACCAAATTCAACCAAATTTTATTTAACTCTTCCCTGGCCGATGGGAAATGTATTCAAAAAATTTCGTATGAATATGTTTGGTATTTCTTGAGTTATCGTGCTCACAAACAAACACACATACACACATAGTGCAGTCAAATCACTCTAAGTACATGGTCCTGATCAAAGTAATCGCAATAGAATTTTTTCAGTGGTAAAATGTGAGGGAAGGTGTCCTGATTAACATTACTAAAAATCCCAAAAAAATCCTTTCGATGGAACACGGTGAAAGTCGAATTTTTCTTACTTCTACCTATAGAAAAGCATTTGGGACAGAATGCTTAGAAAAAACTAAAATATACATCATTAAGCGGTTATCTTGCTTGGGCCTATCCAGCCGAAGTTATACAAGATTTAAAATGCCGTAAATTTGTATTTTGCGCAAATTTTGCATTATTTATCCAACTTAATTTGAGCTACAATAACGACAAACTGCCCAGTAAGTTGAATATATATAACCGTTTATTGATCTATATTTCAGTTTTTTCTAAACTTTCCAATAATGTCTGTTACATTTGCCTAAAAATGATTTCAAAATTTGAACATTCTGTCCACAATGGTTTTCTATAGGTAGAAGTAAGAAAAACTCGATTTTCACCATGTTCCACCGAAGGGATTTTTTTTTATTTTTAATATGTTAATCAGGACACCTTCCCTCACGTTTTACCACTGAAAAAAGTTATATTGCAATTTCTTTGACCTCTGGTCACAGATTGACTGGAGTAACATACATACATACATACAAACCCAGTTGATTACATAACCATTTTATTATTATTATTATTATTATCTTCATATTTATCCAGGATATCCACATCACCGAAGTGTTTTTCAGTGGGGTCCTGCAAAGGTAATGGTGGCGGAGGTAATGATTACATAACCTCCTGGCGGAGGTAATGATTACATAACCTCCTGGCGGAGGTAATGAGCCCAACTAACCGCCTGAGTGAGATCAGCATCTCCTTATTTTAATTGACATAAAAATTAAGGCTTGTTTAAATATATCTAACAGACTGGTTTCGAGAGTTTGCGCTTGATGCGATCTTTGCCAAGTGGGATGAAATTTTTCTTCCTTATGGAGCCATCATTTCTATATTAGACAGATTTAGAAAAGACGACACCACCTCAAAGACAACGTGAAAATGACATATGCACCTCGCTTTCACTTCCTGGTTTTAATCTGGGAATGCTTTAGATATAGATATTTTGATAGATATTTAATAATAAATTTCTCCCTAAAAGGGTTTTTCAGAAATTATTTACAGTTACATGCATGCAGTAATAATTAAGGTTACAAATTTAATTTTAAACAATTAACAAAGACTATATACAAAGTTTAGTTGGTTATACTAAATGTTATCTTTTGCAAGCAAATGTTTTTTAAGTGCTACTTTAAAAATTTTAAGTGAAGAGCAGTCTTTCAAGTTCTTGTCTAAATTGTTCCAAATATGGACGGCTCTATATGTAAATTATCGTTCGCCACCTGCAGTCTTAAATAGAGGTATTTGAAGAGATCGAGTCGTGTGTACGAGTCCTACGGTGGTGGATTGATGACCTTTATATCAATTTGTTACAAAGGTAGTCGGGTGCTAGGTTATTCACACATTTATAGGTCAAACTGGCGTCTCTAAAATATAGTAGTTTGTCTACTGGGAGCCAATTCAATTCACGTAGAAGTGGAGTTACGTGGTCATACTTCTTGGATTTCGTGACGATTTTGCAAGCAAAGTTCTGGATCGACTGAACTTTTTTCCCTTTGGAGGCAGACGTATTCGACCACACCGAAGAACAATAAACCATTTTGCTGATGACCAAGGATGAAGTGACTTTCGATAAAGTTTTTGTGTCGAAACTATTTTTGGCACGATTTATCTGGCATAATTTGTTCATACACGACGAGACAAGAAGCGAGACATGTTTGTCGTAATTTAGGTGTCTATCTAATGTGGCCCCTAAATCTTTAGCAGAGTCCACTGGTTTAAGAGACTTGCCCAAAAATGAAACTGATGTGTCTGTAGGTAGTTTGCTCATCATCTGCTTTGTTCCAATGATCATGTACTTTGTTTTCCCCGGGTTAATTAAAAGGAGGTTTTCACAGCACCAACTTGCAACTCTGTGTAGGTCTTGCTCGAGATTTGCATTTGCTGCACCAATCTAACGTAACGGGAAGGAGAGGAGAACTTTCGAGTCATCAACGTACGATTCAAGGCTGGAGTCACGAGATACGGAGGGAAGATCATTAATAATGGTGAAAGCGTCGCACCTTGGGGTACTCCGTGAGTGATTGGTAGTGGAACAAATAGGGCGGAGTTGATGCGGGTGGACTGAAAGCGATCTGACAAGTAGCTTTTAAACCACTGTACTGTTGCTGGGGAAGCGCCGACATTCGCTAGTTTGTGTAACAATCTGTGATGATTAATACTGTCGAAGGCTTTCGAGAGATGTAATAATACTACAGCGGTGAGTTCCTTTTTGTCCATAGCCTCTAGCATCGTGTCGGTACTAAAATTGTTCAGGGTCTCTGTGGAATGGAGTTTTTAATTTCCGCTTTGATGAGGAGAGAGCAGGTTTTGCTTATAAGGTAGCTACTGAATTGTTCGAGAACAATTTTTTAACAAACCATAGAAGCTATGGCAAGAAGAGATATCGGGCGGTTGTTTGACGCTACTTCGTGGTCTCCGTCTTTCACTATGGGAATCAGTTCCGCTTCCTTCCATGCAGTAGGGAATGTATGAGAGGTTACAGAGCAGTTAATTATATGTGTTAGGGGTACTAGTATACCAGGAAGACAATCTTTGAGGATTCGACAGTTTAACTTGTCTGGTCCAGGGGATTTGTTCAATGGCAGGGATGTAATGACACGGCGTACTTCTTCGCTGGTTACTGTTCGGAAGGAAAAGAGATCTTGGGCTTGCTTGTCTTTTTCGAACCAAATTTTTGTTTTGTTTTTATCTGCTCATTCCTGTATTGTATTCAATTAATTCTCAAGTTATGGCAAGACAAAGCGAATAATAATACTGGCCAAGTGTTTCCTGATGAATTAGTATGAACGTTCAATAAGTTTTTTTTAGAAAAAGACGTATATTTCGGTATTTTGAAAGGTGAAATTTGTTGCATCATTTGGAATAAATACAATAGCTGCAGGTATTGTTTACGAGCTAAATGCTTTATTTTGTAGCCTATTCAATCACGTTTGTCAACTGTTCAGTATAAATATGGCATCAGTGCTTATATTGATAAAATTTAATAATAAAATTACAACAGCGCATATCATATAACATATCATTCTTATAACTATAGCAATGTTTAATACTGCAAAATCGAACAAATCAAGCTACATTTAAAGCTATTTGATATGCATATATTGCACAGTTTCATATGCACGATTTAGAGTACTCCACCTGAAGTTCTCTGCATGAGCTCCACCTTTCAATTTACTATATGATTAAATTCTTAAACATGTCCGAATTTATCATCATGATAAATTTGCGGCCAATTTTGAATTTATCATAATGATAAATTCGCGGCATCTAACTCCTAACACTAACCCTAACCACTAACCACTAACCCCTAATCCTAACCCTAATCTAACTTTTTAACCTTTTTGAAAATCTAACTTTTTAGAAATTTCTTTCCTTTTTAATTAAAACTTTTTTAAACTTTTTTTTTGAAAATCTTGAAAATGTACGTCTGGACTCTTAAGACAAGCAAACTTAATTTTTCTAGTTTCCATATAAGACTTTTTTCTTACACCATGCAGGAACAATTATCTTCAAGCGATAATATTTAATGACTGGCGATTATATAGCTACATACTTTTTCTTAATTAAAAATAATTCAATCTTACATAATCTTGCGCCAAGAAAAATAATCTTAATTTGAGAAAAAAAAAAATTTTCTAGCCGAGAATATAAACTTCTGCAAACAAGAAAACTATCTATAATTTAAACAAGAACCATGATCCTAAACAAAGAAATAATATCCTAAATTAAGAACAAAATATTTCCCTATAGTTCTCCATTTTTTGTAGTGTAAAGTGTATTGTGTCATAACGTGATTTTTACCTGAGTTAAATGTATGGCAGAGCCCCATACTTTGTGAGGTTGACCTGAAATCTTTTCCGCTGCAAGACTTTCCTCTCCACTTGCAGCTAACAAAGATTCCATTTTCATCCATACGATGGCCATACATTTGATATACTTTGTCAATATCCACACGATGTTGGCTATTCGCGTGGTTATATGCTGCTGTAACTTGCTTTGTTTTATTGGGTTGTAATTACATACCGTTATAGCTGGAAACAACATCATCTGTTTTGTGATAATTTCATTCTTTGTCATTGTCGGTAAGTTCAAGAAATTAATAAAAAGTCTAATACCGTTAAAAGTGAAGTAGGCAAAAGAACATAAAATCAAACCGAGCCAGATGAGTTGCCTTATAAAACTTCCACCGAGGATGAAATAGCGAAAACCATGAAATGTCGTTCGTTCTCTGTAATCTGAGATAATTTTTCGCACGCTCATTTGTTTTCCCTTTCCATTATTTTCCTTATCGTTCTCGGGTATTGAATGAACTTTATTGCATTCATCCATACTCAATGAAACATTGGCTCAAACATCAGGACTTTTCTCATAACATCAACTTCAGTGTTTGTCATTTGTAATTAAATGCTGAACTTAATTTTAGTATAGTATATTTAAAATTAATTGCGAGAGGATGTTTTAAAATATTTTTCGTTAATTAATATGAATATTATTGCGCACCGCGTACTCACTGTATACATGCTGTACTATATATACAAATATCTTATAATATGATAGACGTCTTCTAATTTTCTCAATAATTATTTTTAGTACCTTTTTTCATAAGTTTTATTTATTCATTTTTGTTAAGATTTTTGTAATAAACAAAGTCATCGATACCATCTGCTTGTTACTCAATGTGACATAAAATATTTAGATTCATAAATATGGTCTTTTGGAATTAAATCTTGTGCCTTGGTTTTTATATAATCACCTGTGGATGGATAGGTTATTATTACTTTTAATAAGAAAGCAATATAATATGCCGTTGACATTTTTCGTGTGTTCAATAGCTATATTGCATGTTTGCCCTATATCGTATGGCATTGAGGTTACAAGACTTGTATACGCGCAACCTGGGTCTTGTATACGAAGCAGGGTCTCTCCTTCTGTCATCTGGGAGAGACCCTGACTGCAGCTGGTCACGTGCCTCCCAGATTCTGGGAGGTAAATTTAATTGTAATTGTGAGAAAGGGGGGATATGAGCCTGTTTGTAGCGTTTTAAAATTGCAACTTTGGGTGATGAAATTTACTGTAAATTTGCAACAGGAAATCGTAAAGAGGACTCTTAAATTAATATTTATATCGTGACGTTCTACTCTATAATCTGGTGTCGAGTTGCAATTCAAGCAAGTTGGATCAGATTTCAATATTCAACTTATAATAGAGTTGCCAAAGAAAGCACGCTTGCCGCTTGTGCAGCGTGGCAATATTAAACCTACAAGAAAATATATATCTCTAGACCGCGAACACGGTGTGCTTGTTATTTATTTTAGTATTAATGTCTATCCTGATACTCGGACCAAAAGAATTTATTTATTGATGAGATGTGGAATTGCAACGAAATAGCGAGATTTTTTGATTTCCGAAATATCGCCAACTATATTCAGATTGTTGATCTTTATAAAGGCCTTATCAAAAAAACTAAAAGGCCGTCAAAAGACTATAAAATTGGCCCTTGGCATTGCTGAAACCAACGATCATGGTATATGTCAAAGTATAGCTTTCTGTTGAAAATCGACGGTATTAAAATCATACACCAAAGATAAGTCAAACGACAAATTATATGTCACTATATTATACATGTCTTTCAATGAACACTGTTTAGTAGTGTTGAGGCTGGCTCAACACTTCCGGTCAGTGATCGAAGTTTAGCGAGTTTCCGGTGAACATCCGGGGTTTTCAACAAAAAACGTTTGTTGTTTTGTTTCGAAGGATTATTTTTGGACTTTAATAGTAAAAAAGTAGCTTTAATACGGGATTTATCGACATTCGGTAAGACATTTAAAGTTTATTTATGTATTTCTGTCCTTTATGTGAGCATTTGTTATGTAAGAACTGTAAATTGTTAATTTGTAACTTACGTATATATTTAGTGTATTTATGTATTTTCATATCTTGTTAGAATAAAACAAGTCCGACAGAAACGTCAATTGTAACATTCGAGTCGATATACAAGCAAAGAAAGCGTATAGGGTCGAAGCACCTATACATAGTTTTATTCGAATGATCAGCCAACCATATGCGAGTTCTAGTCGAAGCACGTAGAAATTCCTGTGGTTTTCGCCTGATGTTTATTTAGAATTGTATACAGCGCTTTATGAATACCTGTTTTAAAGTCACATCAACGTTTGGATATTTTTTTAAATAAATCAACATTTGGATATTTGTTTAAATAGATTAACATTGGGATATTTGTTTAAAGAAATCAACATTTGGATATTTGTACATTTGGCACAACTGAATATTTGAAAGATACAATTACATATGTATTGGGTGATTTATTTGTGATATGGATTGGGCCAATAGAAATACCTAGTGGCCATAGAGAGAACGTGTGCAACAAGTTTCTGATGATGCTCTGGCCGAATAGGTGCATTCTTCAAAAAGAACAAGAGCAGGATACTTGGGAGCTGTTACTCGTGTTCGTTGCAAAATTGAAACTCTATTAAACGACCCAACTAATGCCGAGACTGTTAGAACACTTTCCCAGCCGTATAATAATTCATGGAAAACATTTGTGGAGTCGCATAACTACTACATGTCTATAATTGGCTCAGACAGCCAAGAGTTCCATCATACCCTTCAACAGTTTGAGCAGTTACACCTTGAAAAGATTGCCTTTTGTTCGGAAAATCTCTAGATACCTACTTGATGCCGCAACCTATTTTAATGAAATGATCATGGATAACTCACCCTTGCGAAGAGAACACACATCACCATATGCCGAATGTGTGGATTAGATCCTATAGATCTAATAGGTCCAGAGTACCGAAACATTCTTCAAGCTCAGTAGTACTTGAAAAAAGAGTCCAAGCTGTAAAGGCAAATGTAGCTTTACGCTTGGCAGAGCAAGAGCAGTGGCGAAGATTTGAAGGTGAAATAAAGCTTTTGGAGATCGAAAAGAAGCACAGAGAACTATTAAGACAACAAAAGATGGAAAAGGAAAATATTGAAAGAACCCAAAGATTGGAAACCTTAAGGCAACAGTCTGAAAGAGAGCTTGCTGAAGCCCGACAAAGGGTAGCACTTATGGACTTAGAAGCTGAATTGGAAGAACAGATGGAGGAACAGGGGGAAATTGATATGAGCCTTGTCACACAAGATCAAGAGAATATTCCAACTGGTGCTGATCAATTCACTGGTGATATTCCAAGACCTTTCATATATGAGGATTTCTTATTTGAAAATGAACCACATCCAACTATGAGAAACAACTCACTGAACCCAGATCTTTCTGCCAAACCACTTTATTCAACACCGGTTATGACAGCTTCATCTCCATAGACACCGTGGATAGGCAATTCAATTGCAAGTTTATTGAGGAACATTAATCTATTTGCAACATCGGTTCCAATGAATGCAACAAGTATTTGTCGACCAACAAATATTAGCGATGAGGCACCAATGCCAACTGATAACCAACAAAATATTTACCACCCAAGACTTCATGATCTCTACTCACACACCAACTCTGCATGTTACAGAGATAGACTCTCAATACCTACCTTCAACTATACCTCAACTGGTGTATCCTCAGTCAGATGGACCTGTGTTAGCAATGTTGCTGACCAGTCTTAAATTCAAATGATGGTAAGCTACCATTTTCTGAAGTGGAACACAGAACACATTTACTTGTGAACAAGCCAACCTGTTCGCCTTTGGAGCCACCAGCGAGACCTACGAGCGTAAGTAACTCACCCCAAGATGGCGTCCTGAAAATGGTAGCATCTGCAGTGCAAAGCATATCATCTGTCCAGCAAAAATTAGCTGCAACCAAAGTCTCCCGGCCATCAAGCTTGACAAATTCTCTGGTTCTCCAGAACATTTCCCTCTTTTTAAGCAGAGATTTGAAAGACGCATAATGTCAAGAGAAGACTTTGATGATGGAGAGAAGATGCTGCGACTATTGCAATTTCTGGACGGTGTGGCGAAAGAAGCAGTTGCAAGTCTCGAGGCAGTTGATGGCGGCATACATGAGGCACTAAAAATTCCACAGAAGAGGTGTGGTCGTACATGTGTAACTGTGAGTTCAATCGTGGATAACCTGGTAAAGGGACCTGTTATTCCAAATGGTGACAAAACTGCACTTCGAATGTTCGCAGATAAAACCGCAAGAGCTCTGGCTACATTGAAGTCCCTGAACTGTTTGCATGAGAAAATCTGGTGGAAATGGCAGGTCGACTGCCGAAACATCTACAACAAAGATTTGTTGGTTTGGCAAACAAATTGGAAGAAAAGGATCAACGTTTCCCAACATTAAGCGACTTTTCCATATTCGTTGACAAATGGGCAAACATTGCAAACCACCCTGGGGAAAACCCAGGAAAGTGACCTCTTGAAGGGAAACAAAAGGAAGAAGGAAGATCTACTGCCAAGATATACGATGACCACAGGTGTTATAAAGGACGATCAAAATTCCTCGGACAAGAGAGGACGTAAAGGAACACCTTGTCCTTGCTGCTCCCAGGCACACCTGCTACACCGCTGCAACCGTTATAAGAAGAAAATACATGCCCATGCCCATGTTATAACTGTTTAAAGAACAGTCCAGTTCTACAATCTGGTATCGCAGTTAAATATATTGCCAAGTGTTGCCCGAGCAAATTCAAGTGCAGAATTGAAGGATGTGGTAAGTCACATCACACGTTGTTGCATATACCAAACCAACAGAAGAAAGAGAGCAATCAAGATTCTGCTCAATAGGATGGGAATGATTTGCAAGCCGGCTCTGTCAATACGGCTTTTCTGCAGGATGCTCGTGCTGTTCTGCTACAATTTGTACATCTATGTGACTATGTGTTTTTGGGAAACTAGGGAAAGTAGTGACCACATATGCCATGCTCGACTCGGGATCAGAGATAATTCTAGTGGACCCCTCACTAGCATCAACTCTGGATTTAGATGGACAACCTTATGAATTGGTCGTATCAACAGTAAGCAACGACAATGATATTCAACATGGTTATCGGGTCAATCTTTCAGTTGAATCCCTTATCGACAATGAACCACAGCGCTTGGAGCTGAGAAGTGCTTGGTGTGGCAGAGATTTGAAGATACCATTACGTCACCAACTTATGCGAAGCAACAAATCACGATGGTCCCATCTTCAGGACGTGCCATTTCCTGACGTTCAGCAGAAAAAGATCTCTATTATAATCGAGACTAATGTTTCAGAAGTTTTGATACCACTTGATGTTCGGCACAGTGGCCCTCAAGCTCCGGTAGCAATACGATCCTGTCTTGGTTTTCAATTCTTGGCGCATTTGGGATGGTTCAGATTTACAGCGCTCGGCCGTTCACAGACGATTTCACGCTCAATAAACAAGTCGAATTGTTCTGGAAATTGGAATAATTTGAAAGTGCGAGCTACAACTCCAAACCAAAGTCTTTGGAAGACAAACGTGCTGAGAAAGTCATAGAAGGTACGATGGGCAAGATTGATGGTCACTATCAAATGGTACTGCTATGGAAGCATGGTGATCCACGACTTCCTGACAACCGATCAGTTGCAGAAATACGCCTTCGACATCTCAGGCGTCGACATGAACGAGATCAAGAGTTAAAGAAAAAATACCTGGCAATCATCGATGACTATGATGAGAAGGGTTATGCCTGCAAGCTTACGCCTGAAGAGACCAAAGTGCGAAGCAACAAGACCTGGTATCTTCCGCACCACCCAGTACTGAACCCTCATAAGCCAGGGAGGTTCATGCCGTATTTGAAGCAGCAGGGACGTCACTAAATGATTAACTCCTTCAAGGTCCAGACCTGATCAATAATCTGGTTGGCATCCTGGTACGTTTTAGACAAGAACAAGTAGTGTTCACCACCTTTATAAATTTTGCAAACAGCTTTCGTTTTGACATGAATAAGCTTTAATTTTTTGCTTTATATGCATTCTTATAAGAATACAAGTGAGATTTAAATTTTTGCTTTGTGAAATAGAATACAGTTATGTTTTTTAATGGACAGCTTGCATCGTCTATATCATATCCAGGATTGCTTGTGTGTCAACGCTTTATTCACTAATATGACACAATCAAATAAATCTAAGTAGCAAATGATTAATGAATTAGAGATACACAGGTGACCCAAACTTTAAAAATGTTAGTAAAAGTAGAAAACTCGAAAATTTATGTCTATTCGAATGACGCCAATGACGGTCTGTGCGCATCTGACACTGTAAACTTGTGATATAGATTATAGTATGTTAATTAACACAATGTAATGATTAATAGAGAAAGAAAGAAAAAGGCTAAAGTCTTACTATAATTACCGAATACGAATTATGTACTAAATCTAGATAAATCAATGACTGAAATTTCCTCTATACTCATGGACATTTCTCTGTTCGGCTATTATAAGATGTTTACATTTGCTAATATTGTGTCAGTCCTAGCTAGACAATCAACAAGGCGCATAGTAAGAAGTGAATCGGTGCAAAGCGTATCAACGTTTACAAGAAAGGACGAATGTAATGGCGTATTTTAAATACATTACAATAAACCAGCGCCCTGAATAAACGTTTGTTATAACAGCGCTCGAGTGTGAAATAACAACACGAGAGAGCACTGCGAGTAACGTACGATTTGCTTGGTTTCTTGACTTGACTGTAAGTAGGAATGTAAGAATGTTCTTGCAAATTCAAAGCATAGAAAATAAACAAAAATTAGAAAGTATTTTGAACGTAATAATTCGCAAAATTTATGTTTTTAACGAATATTCCACTGGAAGCATGTCGATATAATTTGATACTTTCTCCACACCCCCCTCGGGCGCTAAATTTTTGATGAGGCACGTGACCAGCCGCAGCCAGGGTCTTTCCCAAAGAAAGATGCTGGGTACGAGGTTGGTATACGCGTTGCGCATGTTATTCACAAAAAACTTGTGTTTTCAATCAACTTTGCTTAAATTTTGACCTGCTAAAGTAAAATCCTCAATCAGTTAGTGCAGATAGTGATCAACATGGCGGACAGTTCTAATTTTGTGAGCTCTACAAAACTCCATCAAAATATCGCGAAAATATGGAACGCTAAAGAAATTTGTAATCATATAGCTTCTTCCAGCTTAAGTTATGATTGTAAACGAATTAAATGGATTGGAACTTTTGATATATTGCAGAAAGTTGTCGAATGCGATCTTAAATTGGATGGCAAATGGTCTTAGCCAGGCGGTTGTTCGAAAAAGTTTACGTGCTATAATCTAGATATATCAATAACTTGGTACCCCAAGAAACTAAATACACTCGTATTTCATGGTGACGAAAGCTCGGGTTTTGTTGATGCGTTAATAAATGTGTGTGCAGAGGCAATCTCTAAAGTGGACGGTTTATCAAACAATGTATGTGCGTCGGCCAAACATAGTTCGATTGCATGCAACTATAAACTCAGCTGTTGATGAACCTGAATTAACAGATGTCTAATGACTGTATTAAGGACTTTGAACTAACTGATAATCATCAAAAGGTCAGTATAGAGCATGATTTCAAACTTGGCTGTCAATGTAGAATTTTAGCTGCTGATTTGGAGGGAGTTAAGCTCGATATAGCAATCATGTGCAGGGACATAGAAACTAAGTTTCGTGCAGCTTACAATTCACGGGATAGTGACAGTGAACAAATAAGTGAACTTAAACACGAGCTTCTTAAGGAAAAGGAAAAATGTAGTCAGTTGGAGGCTGATATATCTAATTTGGTTCGAGGAAGGAATAGGGAGATAAACGAATTAAAAAATACCATTACCTGTCTCGAAAACAAACTTAAATCAAGTGATGCGACAAACGAATCCCTAAGACAATCGCTAATGCAAATTAATTCAGAAAAATTCAATGGTGTATTGAGTGCCGAACAAAGCCTGTCAAACCAACCTGAACAAATTAATACTTATAACTGCATCATAGACACTATAAAATCGATAGAAACTGCAAATTCAAACCTAGGAATTTGCTTAGCAGGTGAACCTTTTATTCCCGAAACAGTCAGCGTTGAAAACCTCCTTGATAATTCATATTTAATTGTCCAACCAGCAAGTTGTAATAGAACCAACAATAAGCTCGACAACAAAGGTGAAATTAACGAAGTGAAGTTAATGAAGCATAATATGAATAACGACAAAATCAGCAAAGCTAAGGTCTCGCGAAGTTACTCTCGAGAGAATTATAATTGTCCCCCTTATTGTGAGCCATTGTCGCTGAAATCGCTTGGAAACTTGCCTCTTATCGAAATATCCAAGCCATTTATAACTCAGAAAAAGGAAACCTTTTTAGAAAACCCATCAAATATATTGAATGATAATACAACTAGCACTGAGACAGTTACTCAGCATGGGTGCATTGGCCAAATACCAGTTGATATCTCTGAATTTATTGTCTTAGACGGCGACGAATGCATTAGGCCGTGGGCTGTTGTGTGAAAAAGTGCCTAGAAAAGCAATTTCGTGGCACCCTCCTGGGAAATAGATTTTCTGTGGTTCAATTCATAGAACCATAGATGCTTAATTACCACAAAAAGTTCCCAAGCAAAAAACTTGCCCAACACCGAGAAAATGGGTGATCAGTGACTATCCTCTATTAAATTGTATTACAGCAAGAAAATGTAAAATTTTGTATTCAATTACAACAATTACTCTATATTACTACTATTCAATTACTACATACAGGGTGTCTCAAAAAAACCCAAAATCATTGAAATAACGTATTGTTCGAATTTCAATGCCGTAACACAAAGGATTTTGACAGGGTGATTAATTTGTTTTAAAAAATTAAAATATCTTTGTAAAGTGAACGTTTGTTTGCTCATGGGAATTTAAAATGCTTCGTAAATTGTAATATGCGTAATATGCATTCGTGGGTTTAGTACTTTATGCCTGACATAACAAGTTTACGCTGAGTATTACCATTCATTATAGCAGTTATGTCAATCTTTTATGCACTCGTGGGATTAACTTAGTGCTAGGGCATTGAATATCGAACAATACGTCAATTTCAATGATTTTGGGTTTTTTTGAGACACCCTGTATAAGACATTTAAACAGTTTTTTTATATCGTAAATTGTTTTCGAGTTATACGCTGTCAAAAACGCGTTTTTGACCTAGTCCTTCTTGGGAGTTTTTGGTCCAATTTTGACATTTAAAACAGCATAACTCAAAACTATTTGAAAAATCAAAAAACTGTTTAAAAGTCTTATATGCGGTTTTTTGTACGCTTTCCGATGATGCAAGTCATTTTTATTGTAATTGAATACAGAATTTCCCATTTTTTTGCTGTAATACAATTTAATAGAGGATAATCTTTGATCACCCATTTTCTCGGGATTGGGCAACTTTTTTGGTAGTGATGTACCTATATGCCTTTTAAATAAACCCCAAACCAAGTATTTCCCACATGGGTGCCACGAAGCGAAATAATTTGGGCCAACAGCCCACGGCCTACATGTCTGAGTGTGACAACACTAATAACTGTCCTTTTCGGCAGAGCTTTTTGGAGCGTCCCCCGCCCTTGCCTCACGTTCGAAGGGCGGAATGGTTGGCGCATTTAGATCTTGTTCGCCGGCTGACGACAAAGTAAATTCTAAAGAAAATGAGAGAGAATCACATAAAAATTACAGTTCGATTCCCGTTCTTGTTCAAAAAATTCCTTTGAGAATAACCCATCGTGTATCAAACTTTGAAAGAAAAATAAATGCAAAACCTAGACAATTGAGAACACTACAGCATTGTCCTGAATACATACAAATGGAAAATCAATCGTTTCCAGTACCTAAATCACTGTTTATTAACATATGTAATCTTAAGAAAACGAAAATTCGAGTTCCAGCTTCAGTGGCGTTAGAAGCGGATTTATACGCTTCAGATATTGACATATGTGTTGTGTCGGAAACCCATTTAAACAATAAAATTCCAGACTCCGTTGTTGCAATAGCATCATATAACCTATACCGTAGAGATAGAGACTATAATGCAGATACACGAAAAAATGGAGGAATAGCAGTATATCTTCGACAGAACTTGGAAGTAATTCGTGTCATTCGGGAAACAAAATTTGAAATGATTAGTATTAAACTTATTCTCCCAACGAGACATAAAATGTTAGTTATTGGTGCCTATCACCCCCCAAGATTTAGTTATAATAAAACAGATTTTTTGAAGGAAGTGGAAGTTGTTGACGATTTTTTAGACATTAACCCAAATGGCTTAGTTCTCTTTGGTGGAGACATTAATCATCTAAACCTTAGTCAACTTTCCACAATGTCTGGCATGTTGCCTTTGGTAGACTTTCCCACTAGAGGGCAAGCAATTCTTGATAACTGTTTTACAAATAGACCGGAACTTTTCAATAAAGCATACCCATTGCATATACAAATGAAAACAGACCACTTGGGAGTCATAATCCAGGCAGGAATAAAATTGAAGCACCTCCGCGCTAAGATCAACTTTAGGGACTGCAGAGCACAGAATAAAGTCAAATTTCAAAAGAAGCTTGCCGAGAAAAGTTGGTCTGAAGTTACGTCATTGGAAACAGTTGAAGAAGCAACTAGAGTATTGGAGAACACTATCCATAATATGATAGATCAATGTTTTCCAAAGAAAACAGTTACTCTTTACACTCGTGACCCTCCATGGATGTCTCGACTCTTAAGGTATTTAATAAGAAAAAGATCAAAGGCTAAGTCAAGAAGAAAGTTATCTATTGCGGCAGAGTTAACAGAACGAATATCTGGAATAATTTCACATAATCCAACAAAAATGGCAAAGTCCGAGTGTACTGGCACATGTCAATCGTGGAAAAACGTTGACTTTTTGTCACATAGAAGAAATCGAGCACATATTATACTTGACAACGAGTTCAAAGAAAACTTGAACGGTTACTTTGGAGAGTTATGTTGGGATAGAGACTATGAACAGCCAACGTTGATGGAGATAGATTCAATCACAATAAAAGCTCGTCAGTTTAGCAAAACACAGGTCAAGAACGCTTTGTTGAAAATAAGGAAAACTGCAAGAGGCCCTGATGAAATCCCATTTTGGGTGTGGAAAGAAAATGCTGATGTATTTGCACCTGTTATGACCAAGATTTGGAATGAATCTCTCTCTACATCCACATGGCCTACCTCTTGGAAAATTGCTCATATAAATCCTTTACCAAAAGTCAAGAATCCAAAGGAATATTGTGAATTTAGAGGGTTAAACGTCACACCTGTGATTGGACGATACTTCGAAAGAATGGTTTATCATTATCATAGTAAAAGATCTTTCGAGGCTGAGTTATCATCTTCCCAGTTTGCTTATCGAATCGGTGGGTGTAGCACAGACGCCTTAATTAAATTACAGTATATGTATCTGAAAGCACTAGAAGAACCCAAATTGTGATGCAGTGAGATTAATTGCAATGGACTTTTCCAAAGCATTTGACAATGTAAAACACGCAAAACTGAGTGAAAAATTGAAATCGAGTTCTATGAACCCTTATTTAGTAAATTGGTACTTAAATTTCTTAAAAGATCGAAGGCAGAGAATAGTTTTCCAAGGAACAATATGCAAGTGGAAAGATATTAACAAGGGAGTTATGCAAGGAACTGTAACCGGACCACATTTCTTTAATTTATTTATTAATGATTTGGAGATTAAAAACTGTTCTAACACCCCCGTTGTTGCAGCTCATATCGCCCAATAACTCGGTTAACTTATGACATTTGTCTTCGTGTGTGAGAAACACTTCGATGCCTTCCAGAGCCACCCATAGCTCGCTTGTCTCTCTCCAAATTCTTGATGCTTTTTTATGGATATCTATCGCAGACGAAATCAACCCGACTGAAATTTAAAGAAACAGCAGTGTTAACGATCTTAGCCAGCAAATCCGTTGCAAGTTCGCCAAATGTTGCTGGGAGAACTGTCAATGTTTGTAATATTGCCATGGCATCAAAAATATATGCTTTGTCTCCAATAGGAAGGTTAACTGAACCATCTTGTATTTCATTTTCAGTCATTTTGAGCAATTTAGCTTTAACAGTCTTTACGAGGTCACCTTCATTCGTAGCCGATGGGTGTGGATACGGCCGGAGAGAATACGTCAACACTTCTTCCATCTCCAAATTGCGACTCTTGGCTATCAGAAGCATTTTCGCAAAAAGCGCTTTCGAGTTTTTCAGGACCACGATCTTACCTTTCTTACTTTTGCTATTGACCTTCTTACCAATAAGAGAGAATGTCTGTAACTGCGTCTTCTTTATCTTGGTGTAAATGTCAGGTTCTTCTCCTACAATATTGGACTCCATAAACTCAACTGCAGCACATTCGCCTTTCTCGAGCATGGTTTTCATATCACTGGTTACTGACACAGTAGCGACAGATCCACTTGCTAATTGCCCGAACCCTTGTTATTCTTTGTCAAAAGGGTTTATCATAGTCTGTACAGTCTGAATGGCATTTGTAGCTGCTTTCTGGTCTGCTGCTATCCTTTTCTTGTCTAAATCTTTTCTCGACCTAGGTAAGAAATTTTTATCATTTTATTTCTGCAAAAAATGCATAATAAAGACAATAGAAAATAAATAAAAATATGGCGCACGTGGATGATGAATTATGCACAATAACAGTTTACATTTGCGTATTTTATTGTGGGTTTTTATGTAGTATCTTCGTTACTGACCGTTTGATATCAGTGACACTTGCCATGGCTTCACATTGTCTAGTGATTGCACTCCTTTCTGCTTGACCCATTATCCAGCGATGCACTGCTCCCTTGTTTAACGTTATCCCCACAAGACCACCTTTCATTTTCGAATCTCTGTTCAAAACAAGAAAAAAATGTATGTTATTACAATAATCGTATTGATGTAAACTATATTAACACGAAACCGCTATATTAAATGTTTTTTCGAAGCAACGATAAAGGACTACTAGCCTATTCAGGGTCTGCTCGATCGTTTGATCACACGCCACGCTTGAAAAAGCATACTCGTTCTGTCGTTGTACGGTCCAATTATCTGCAATGTTACAGTAGCTGCCACATCTCCACAGGAATTATAGAAAAACATAAAAAGAGAACTCATTTAATTGCTATACGGAAAATTAGTTTCAAGATTCAAAAGCAAATCTAATAATATAATTTAACGTATACGAGTAACACAAAATGAATAGTGATCGTCACTTATAGGGGTGAGTTTTCTCTAAACACAACATTTCAAGCCAGTAGCACGGCGCGTATCTGGAGTAATTCACTCGATTCGTTGCAAAAAAACAGGGGATCATTGAGCGGAGTGAACTAAGGTGTAGTTCCCAATTTGATGTTCTCGTTGCCCTGATGTAGAGTAGGAGTAGTTGAACCATGTCGATATATTTGGACCAGAGGGCAAACGTAGGATTCTCTTCGCTTCGTTTTTCCACGAACGTATCATAAGCCCTTTTTGCATCATTGACCTGCTTGCTCGTACAGATTTAAGTAAACGATTCTCTCTCAGAATCCTCCAGAACACTGATACCAACCGAGTCAAACTGGTTGGACGCAGAACTTGCTAAGGACTTTTCAAATGCCTCAAAAATCGCATCCTTTGCATTCCTTCATAAATTAACTTGTGAACTCTTACGGAGCGATTATAAAGCTTCCCAGATAACACACCTTTAACGGATCCAGGGGCAACTATCTCTGATTCGATCATGATATCCTAAAATACCAATTTGGAAAAATGCACACTGTTAATTGTACGTCGATCAATTTGCATTTGTCATTCAATAAATAAACGAACAAATATTTGGATTAACTCAATAGATGATTTCATAGAAGGCGAACATACAAGCAAACACAGAAACGCACAAACACACAAACTAATAAACAACAGGACGGACGGACAAATGATGTATTAAAAAACCTACTTCCAGTCCTGCGTCTTTGAAGATTTTAGCTATGGCACTGCAGAACGACATAATGGTGTGGAAGTCTCTCAGCCTAATCACCAATCGATTCTTATATTCTCCGTTCTTCCAGTGCTTCGTCAAATACCAGCACGATCTCTGGAAGTTGAAGGCGTTGGCACATAGAAACACTGTGCTTGAGTAAGGCATTAACTGTTGCCAAATCCGTGAATGGCGCATCGATCACCGGCAAGTAACCAATGTTTGTGACAGTTGGAATTTCTTTGTGAACTTGCGTATTGAGCCCGGTCCATCCTGGAGATAAGAGCCCACTCTCAGATGCGTACTAACGCGATAATGTGTACACAAAATCAGCATTCCTTGCAAATTGCTGCTCATCTTGATAGCTTTTGTCGTCAATGGAAATGTCAGAACTCTGGCTTCGTAAAGATATGGTTCCTTTTTCTCGGTTGGTGTAAGGTGCGATGTACGTTTCTGGTCCTTGTACAGTACGGCACGATTTACTCACAGTCACATGATTTCCCAAGGTTGTGTTCCCGTTTTGCAACATAATTCCATTTGCCAAATGGGTAGTTCCCTTTCCAGAGACAATTTCTTCGTTGAAGTCGTTGTTATCCCAAACAACTGTGGCAATTATGCCCGGGTTAATATTACGTGGAATAATGATATCTTGTCCTCTGCTGCTGGCAATGGCTAAAGCAGTGCCGTGCTTGTAAACAGTAGCCACCGATGCTGTGTGTCCCAACCCATGCAAGATACGACGCAATCGAACTGACCCAGTGATTTGCCGAACGGTCATTCCAATGACTTGTGGGTAAATTTCCTGCCTTTCGATTCCGCATAGATCAGGTCCTGCGCTATCGACACTAGTTTAGTTTGCTCGTTTCCACTAATTTGCACCCTTACCTCACGAAGTGCTTGATCAGATAACCCCCTAGCCCATGCTAAGAAGTTGTATAACTTCACCGGAATTGATTTCCTGGCAGATTGGAAAGTTAGGTCATGGGAATCAGGGGCCCAGTCAGCATCTATGCCTTTACTTTCTTGCAAAAGCTTTTTATTTCCATTGCAACGGGAAAAAAATCTTGAAAAGAACAGCCATTAACCTGCGATGAAGTTTGGGTGATATCACTTAATGGATCGTCTGCATTGAATTCGTCATGTCATCTTGTGTATTGTTGCATATTTCCATCAAATCATCGGCCACTTCACCTGGAATCACATTATCTGCATAAACGAGAGTTCCTTTATTCATAGTTTTTGAGGTATGAAAAATGATTTGCGGATATCGCATTCCAATCCTGGTCTTAAGTCTGGCAGCCTGGTAGGGTACGTCGATATGTTCTATTTCCTGCACACAGCTGATAAACGTTTTTAATAGGTAGCTAAGATAAAAAGAAAAGAAAAAACACGAAAAAATAAAGATGACAGGTAGCTAAGAAATAAAATCTCCTTGTTTTTAATGATGCGTTGCTCAATTATTCGTGTGCAGAATTCTTCAAAGGCTCTATCATACAAGGTCGGACCAGAATCTCTTGATTTATTTGAAACACATTTCGTATACCTCTGGTAACAATTTTTCTGATACCTTGCTTCTATAGCTACACAGTCCTTTCCACGAATATGCAAAAGTATACTTTCATAATTTTTTAACGTTGCCGTCTTTTCCAAAATTCCAGCTGTTAACGTTTGTGCAACTGATAATTCTTGTTTTACACGTTTTTTTGTCGCCTATAAAGAATATATTTAGTGTATCAGATGATCAATTATATCATTGTGTATAATGCATAAGTATAAGTATAATGCAACATAAAAATAAAAAAATACCTTATCTGTAAAAAAGATTGGTCCCGGTTGTTTACAAATCAAGCAAGACTTGGGTAAAACACTTGACGATCCAGAAGCCGATGTAGCATGTGCAGTTGCAAAAGATTGTCTCGTAGTTCGGGGTACTTTTTCTGGTGTTGCTTTGACTTCTTCCTCCTTCTCGCTGGGGCTGTCACCCTGACGCTTTATACCTGCATTACTCAATGTTTTTTTTTGGCCCTTTCAAACTTACTGATGCCAGTGAAATTGCGATAACATGCCGAATGATAGAAATAGTTTTTTGCAATGTCATTTACGTTCAAACTTTCTGGGATAAACTCAAACGACTTTTTTGCTACCTTCGTAAAATCTTTATATTCCGACGATAGACATAGCCACTGTTCCCTTCTTTCGACTATTTTATCTAGTGTTTCTTGTGTTAAATATTTAATTTGCCCTTCTTTTCCCTCAAAATGAATTGGAAGCGCGGTCACGAAATGGAAAGGCTGGGGACGAGATAAGAGGACTTATGCCGATGTTATACGAAATTCAAAATGGCGGGCGATGGCATGTTGTTTGTCGAATAAGTGAAAATATATATAAATGGCAATTAAAAAATACTGCGGGTCTACGAAGCGGGAACTTTTCGGAATCGTGTTCAGTATCTTCGCAAATAGTAAGTAATGTAAAAATATTTCAGTTCTAAGACATGCTAAATGAAAGTGAACGATATTATGCCTCAGCAAACGGCCTAGTTTAACAAACTGACCCTGAACTATTGAGATCCCTTTGTTTTATAGCCAATGTTACGCATGATTGCACTTCGAATAGTAGTAATATGTAATCATGAATGCACGAGTGAACATTTGAATACTTAAGTCTTAAATACGCATATTTTAAATCATCCAGTCACAGCAACATATTTTTTTTAAATGTTATTCTTAGTTCTTTAAATATTGGCCAAATAATCTATGTTTGAGTACATTTAAAAGTTTCGGTTACGTCCTGCACAGTTTTTTTATGCCGCTGGGAACTCAAGAACATGGAGATCTGTATGTTTAAATTATAACTCTTGTCGAAGTTTGAACAATGTTACCCATCTTGTGATTTTATTTGGCGAAGTTGAATAAATAAATAAATACTTTCCAAACAAAGAACTTGCTTCGGCTTCAGTACGTAAGTTGTTATGATATGCGCTAATTAGAATAACGAATTCGAAACAAGCAAGAAACGCAATGAACTCGAGCATCTTCGCTCGAGTCTCCGTTCGTTTAATTTGAAATTATCAACTTTGCTTCTATGGCCTAGCAGCATGTAAATAAACAAAGAGATAACACAAACGAGCTCAAAATTGGCAATTTGATACGAAGTATTCAATACAGTTTTAAATAGCGATATAAAGTGTGCTCAAATTACACTTTTGGTAATTCAAACTATACCGTCCGCTCCTTGCCAACGAATTTTAACATTGGAAAGTGGAAGCATTGTAATTTGACATTTTGTCCCTCTATCCCTTGGTTATTGAATATCTTAGGAGCCACGTGACCAGCTGGCACCAGGGTATTTCTGCAGCAGGGGGAGAGCAAAAATAATACGCCGGGTAAGAGGTTGATCTTTATCATGTTCACCGGGGAACATGGGGCGAAACATTGTCAAAAGGAACGCAGGCTCGCTAATTGATGACGTAAGGCGTGATATCGCGATTAATTTCATGCTCACGCTCACAAGCTAAGCTTCCTGATTGGATAATTTGAAATTGAGGTATAATATTATCGGATGTCAAAGGATGCAAAGGTAACATGTAAACACACTAAAAACTCCATTGTTCGAACTAGATTTGAGATTAGATGTGTTTGATACTTTAGTTCAAGCATAGCTGACCTATTGCTGAAACGACACTATTTTTTAAGCAATAGATGCCTATCTACTCAACAAAACAACAAAAAGGTAAAGTGATTAAAACTATTTATTTTAAAACTGATTAAGTGTTCATAGAGTAGTGAGTTTAACTGTTGCGACAATGATCAGTACGGATATGCAGTAATTCTTATATTAACTATTTAAATATTAATATAACGTTTAACGTTACAAATGCCACATGAATTAAATTGATACTTACACTATACCGTACATATACATATATAATGGAAAATCCTGCACGAAAGTCATTAATATTAATTTTTTGTGATTCAATCAATCACGACCTCTTCATGAGTTACACCTGGCTGTGTGCCCGATCTTAACACGATAACGTGATCGTGAACACGATCACTGATACTCGCCCAAGGCATTGCATCGGCATTGATAGCTGCCATTCCAAAGTGTCCATCTTTACTAATTGCAGTTACGGCAACATACGGCTCATTCAATATCGAATTCACTTCCTGTAAAGCAGTATCCGCAGCTTCCTGGTTTAAAGAAAGAGTAATACACGTGCCTTAGTCTGGAGGCTTCAAGGTTATTATGGAGTGTGTAAATTTTCAAAAATTCGGCTCACTGACTATATAATGTCAGCTATTTGGAATTTCGTAAGATTTTGAATGTACAATTTCTGGTATTTGTTGAAATACTGGATAATTATGAAATGTAATTTTTATGCAATTTACTATACCAAACCGATTCGATTTCGTTGCGCTTATTAAAATGCTTCTCCACTTGACGCAAGGAGGAAGGAGGTCCTATTAAGGAAAGAGTCACTAAGCTGTCCAATAAGCTGCATGTAATAGCTCACTCATTTTACTATTTATCACGATATATTTGCAGATTTTTAAGACTTTCAAAAAAATAGTTTTTAAAAAAGTTTTAAAAGAGTTCTAAAAGAGTTTAATTAAAAAGCAAAAAAAAAGTTTAAAAAGTTATATTTTCAAAAAAGTTTAAAAAGTTAAGGGTTAGGGGTTAGTGGTTAGTGGTTGGAGTTAGGGTTAGTGTTAGTCGTTCCGGGCCGACTTGTCCCCAGTAGTTATTTGAACTTCAATTTTATAGGGACGAATAGGCATGTACACATCTATAATCTACATAATTTTATATATACCCGGATTGAAATATACTTTTATTGAGCTTTCGACTCGGTACTTCGAGCCTTCTTCAGAATACTGAGATTAAAAGTTATTACATATGTACATTATTTAATTAAAGTTTTGCGGTGTGGCTACGTTCTTTGTATACATCGAGACCGTCTAATTGGCTGTTCCGCGGTTGATCTGATCTCATTGCTGGTTGAAGAATGCGTTGTCATGGTTGAGTGAATTCCGATGCTAGGGATGGCGTCATTGGAATGTTTGGATTGTTGTGTTGTGGATGTGGAAGGAAGTGTTATTTGGAAGTTAGTATTAGTCATAGTATCGTTGTTATTAGTAGGACATTTACGTGTTGTTTTAAGTTGTAAGTAAATAGTGGGAATTTCAACGTGTCGGTTAATTGTATTGCCGTCTATACTGTACCATGCCTGCGTGTTTTGTTTGTGCTCGTCCTAATAGTTCGGTTTCTGTCCAGTTGAAGGTATGGCAGTTGTCGTATGTGTGTGCTGCAGGTAGTGATTTATAATCGTATTGTTTTATGGCGTTTTTGTGTTCAGTTATTCATGTTTCAATTTTCTTCGAGGTTTGACCTATGTATCGTTGTGGACAATCTCTGCAAGATATCATGTATATATAGCATTTTTTGTTTGTTTTGATGCTGTTTTGTCTTTGTGTTTTGTGAACATTAACGTAGCACACAAACCGGCACGTAAACTTAGGTGATATCTCACAAAACACAAAGACAAAGCAGTATCAAAACAAACAAAAAATGCTATATACATGTGATACCTTGCAGAGACTGTCCACAACAATACATAGGTTTTGCCTAAAAGAATATTGAAACACGAATAACCGGACACAACAACGCCATAAAACGATACGATTATAAATAACTACCTGCAGCACACACATACGACAACTGCCATACCTTCAACTGGACAGAAACCGAACTATTAGGACGAGCACAAACAAAACACGCACGTGAATTTAAAGAGGCATGGTACAGTATAGACGGTAATACAATTAACCGACACGTTGAAATTCCCACTGTTTACTTACAACTTAAAACAACACGTAAATGTCCTCCTACTAATAACAACGATACTATGACTAATACTAACTTCCAAATAACACTTCCTTCAACATCCGCAACACAACAATCCGATCTATATATATTATATATTATATATTATATATATATATATATTATATATTATATATTATATATATATATATATTATATTATATATTATATATTATATATATATATATTATATATATATATATTATATATATATATATATTATATATATATATATATATATATATATATATATATATATATATATATATATATATATATATATATATATATATATATATATATTAATCTTCCAGTCGCGAATTCCATACGCGCCCACTCCTGGTCTCAGCCCGCGCGTCGGCTCTTTTCTTCAACCGTCTGAAAATTGTCTGAATATTGTAGAATACAAAAAGGAAATGCTAATAAAGAGGAATTATAAAATAATATTATAAGAGCTACAAGTATTTATATTTAAAAGCGACTGGAGACGAGTCTGCGTTCTGGGTGTGAGCCCGGAGAAAGGGTATTAATTCCGCTCGGGTATTTATACCGGGGTATGTGAGATCATAGCGAAGTGCAGAGTTGATCTTCATTATGTCATGGGTGGTTTTGGAAATTATGCGCATGCACGAGTACAAGCGCTGGTGATTTTGCAAAGATATATTTTGCTATTTTACATGAAGTATATTTTTCCGAATTATTTCGATTTTAACTGAAGCAAGCCTACAGTTTAAAATAAAATAAAATTTGAAATACATAAACAGGAATTTTGTCGAAGATGGACGTTTACACTTGCTGAAACATAGCCAGGACAACGATTAGATAATCAAAAACACCCGTGTTTCACGGTTGCAAGTGTAAACGTTTCAGTAGTAAAATTCCATACCGTACTAGCTTTGTGTTGCGATTTTATTCATATCCTTGACATTTTAAGTCACTCTTAATAACTCAATGATATGTTTTTACTCAAGCTGGTATTTACATGAAATTGCAGTGATTGTTATTGTTCATTTCGGACAATTCATCCAACGCAGAATGTTTTTATGTGTGCCTGTAATGGTCTTTTACCTACAGAAAATCATGTGGCTTGACCAAAATCTAACTCAAATAAAAGCTTTCTCCTGTAAAGCTAATTGTTTTGCTGTATATCGAGCAAGTTATTTGTCGGCAGAGCAATTTTTCAGTTAACCCAGCTACATAGCTTCACGGAAAAGTTTCGAAGCGTTTTATCCTTTTATTTTACATTGAATTGAAGCCTATTGAAAGCCAAAACGACATTCTAGATTTTGAAAATAAATCAGCACTGTAAATCTGGGAGTGTTACCACAACACCGAAATCGGTGTAAATTCTTGCAGCTGTGTGGACACCGATTTAGTGTTTACTTACACTCATTTTGGTGTTAAAATACACCTTTTCAGTGTTAAATAGATGCAGCTGTGTGAACACCGAATTGGTGTAAATCTACACTACGAGTGTAAAATAACACCTCCGAAGATCTTTTCACACTCTTTCGGTGTAAATAGCTTGCAGCTGTGTGAACACCGAATTGGTGTAAATCTACACTACGAGGGTAAAATAACACCTCCGAAGATCTTTTCACACTCTTTTGGTGTAAATAGCTTGCAGCTGTGTGAACACCGATTTGGTGTAAATCTACACTACGAGCGTAAAATAACACCTCCGAAAGTATTTTGACACTGTTTTGGTGTAAATAGCTTGCAGCTGTGTGGACACCGATTTCGTGTAAATCTACACTACGAGCGTAAAATAACACCCCCGAAGATATTTTTACACTGTTTTGGTGTAAATAGCTTGCAGCTGTGTGGACACCGATTTCGTGTAAATCTACACTACGAGCGTAAAATAACACGTCCGAAGATATTTTTACACTGTTTTGGTGTAAATAGCTTGCAGCTGTGTGGACACCGATTTCGTGTAAATCTACACTACGAGCGTAAAATAACACCTCCGAAAGTATTTTTACACTGTTTTGGTGTAAATAGCTTGCAGCTGTGTGGACACCGATTTCGTGTAAATCACACTACGAGCGTAAAAGAACACCTCCGAAGATATTTTTACACTGTTTTGGAGTAAATAGCTTGCAGCTGTGTGGACACCGATTTCGTGTAAATCTACACTACGAGCGTAAAATAACATTTCCGAAGATACTTTTACGCTGTTTTGGTGTAAAGCACCTTGCAGCTGTGTGGACACCAACTGGTGTTAATCTACACTACGAGCGTAAAATAACACCTCCGAAGATATTTTTACACTGTTTTGGTGTAAATAGCTTGCAGCTGTGTGGACACCGATTTCGTGTAAATCTACACTACGAACGTAAAATAACACCTCCGAAGATATTTTACACTGTTTTGGTGTAAATAGCTTGCAGCTGTGTGGACACCGATTTCGTGTAAATCTACACTACGAACGTAAAATAACACCTCCGAAGATATTTTACACTGTTTTGGTGTAAATAGCTTGCAGCTGTGTGGACACCGATTTCGTGTAAATCTACACTACGAGCGTAAAATAACATTTCCGAAGATATTTTTACGCTGTTTTGGTGTAAAGCACCTTGCAGCTGTGTGAACACCAACTGGTGTTAATCTACACTCCGAGCGTAAACTGACACCTCCAAAGGTCTTTTTACACTGCATTACGTACTTACTGAATACAGCTGTACTGATATGGTTTGTGATGTAAATGTACATCCAATTGATGTCTAAAGTAGCTATATTCAATATAAACTTAATGTAATGTAAAAATACCTTTTTGTATAAATGCTGCTTAAGATTGTATGTTATTAACTCAATTTAACTGAATTACTAAATTAAAACAATGAAGAGAATAGAAAGTACAAATGTAAATTATATATTTTTAGAGTTTAAAACTATAGTCTATGTTACATATTTCGATTCAGTTGAATCATTTCAACATAGTTTATATCAGTCACAATCCAAATTAAAGTTCATATTGCCAGTACAGGTGATTTGAAACCAATAGAATCTTTGCTGAATGGCACTTTGACACAGTCGAAGAAGAACACATCACTATATTGTAGCGCACAAAATCTACAAAGGTTTTGGTGTGCAACTGTCCTTCGTTAAACATTAATGGCCAGCACGTTCCCTTGAAAGATAATTATTTTGCATTAGAGATTATTATAAAGAGTGCACTGTACCTTTTATGGGTTTATGAGAAAGTATCAAACAACTTATAGAACAAACCCAATCTAATTTTTTGTTGGTGACATGTCAGAGTAAATATTTGAGATTTGGGTAGAAAGTCTGGCTAAACTATCAACAAGTAACACTTTTTAGGGCAAGTCGAGTGGTTTAGGGCATAGTATGATTTAACAAGGCACATTGGCAGAGAGACCGTTTAAAACCAATTAACCAGAGGAGTAAACTTTTCTTGGATTAACATTTTTAGTCACAGTAAATAATAAACATAGTACATGTATATTTGGGCACTTTAAGTTTAATTCACTGTGAAGTTCTTTTGTATCATTTCAAATCAATATATTATAAAAAGCATCACTTTATAAACAGTTTATATCTTAATTGTGTAAACATTCTCTGGTTAAAAGATTTATTTATTGCAAGCTTTCGACTGCCAGTCTGCAGTCTTCGACGGGTCTCCGTCTGCAGACTGGCAGTCAAACGCTTGTAAGGCAAAAAAAAAATATGTGGGTTTCCGGTTTCTTCTTATAAAAACTTAGGTAGGGTAGGTCGGTTTTAACTTTTTTTTTAAACTTTTTTTTTAATTTTCCGAATAAGCGGACGCCATTTTGTTTAGTCACTGCTTCCACATCCAAAGATATAATTCCCTAATATTTCCTCAAATTTCAATTTTCCACAAATTTTTTCCTGTAAGTGGAAACACTTACAAGCATGATCCAATAAAAAAGTTTAGG